TGATTTGTTCTGAAAAGAATTCTATTTGAGTATACTCCTTCTTTCGAACATAAGACTTGCACTTCGTTATTGTTGAAGTTGGTATGAACAATGGACTGTTCTTAGAAGGAGTAGTAGTAGTACTAGTAGTACACAATTCAATTATGCTGATTATTTCGAACGTAAGATCTGCATTTGATCAAATAATAAAAAATCAAATGAAAAATAAATAGTCCGAAGTAGTCGTCGACGCTAAATAGAGAATAGAAATATCTAATATGAAATAATTCCATTTCGCCTTAAAAAAAGAATCACTCGAGACGTCCCAGAAAAACAAATTTTTGTCATAGTTAGTTTACGGTGCTGAAGTTTTTAGGGTAGATCTCGTAGATGGGCTAGGATGTGGAACAGAGTAAGAATAAGCATTTTCAAACATTGTTGTAGTATTGTAGCCAAAAGCAAATCAAAAAGTAAAAGAGATAATCATGTAATTCATATCAAATGCAAGTTTTTCATTTATAGTCAATTCAATTCATTTCAAAGAACGCTTAAGATCTTTACATATGACCGATAATCGTCTGTCGAATAAAGTGCAAGCATAAAAACTTTTTTCACATAGATACTTTTCATATCAAAGGGTTCTTCATCATACTCTCAGCTTTTTATGATCAAATTTTCTCGAGAATACAAAATGTTGCTCGAAAATTTTATCCAGTTCATTACTCAAGCAACGAGTTCCTTGGTACAAATTATTTGTGGTCGAAAGGTGTCTTCATTATGCTCTGCGTTCTTTTAATACAACTATTTTACAGGAAAAATCACTTATATTTTCGCATCTAACAATCTATTTACACATGTCAATTTGAAAATCAATCACACGTAATAGTAGTGTTTTGAGCAAAGGAGGAGGGAAACGGTACTCCAATTTGTATTTCAGTACTCCAGCTTGGATTTGAAATGCTGTTTCTCCCTTGGTTTTGATTTGTTTCAAATAAAAAAGAAACAAAAAAAAATAAATTGTAATATCTTCTTCGAGTAGTTTGAGAGGAGTCACACAACTTATATAGAAATGAAATGACTTAAGTTCTTAAGACAAGAATTAATTGGAAATGTGTTTTTCTGAAGAAAAGAACACGAATAGTTTCATATGAGAGCTGATGGAAAGCAGAAATGGTCAAGGCTTTGTTGCTTCCACTTTATCTGCAAAAAAACAGTCTTTTGCAAGAATTTTCGAAGAATCTGCGATTAAGTGATCACCCACTGCTACTACTTGATAGCTATGCAGAAGTGTGAGGCAGGTCTGCTCATGCTGGATGTAAAGATGACCATTGGCTTATTAGTGATCATGTAGACTTTTATTTCTTCTATAGATTTGCACTATTCACTGATCATCATGTTTTCACAATAGAGCGCTTGCCAGTTCTCCTTTATTCAAATTTACAGAATGATACATTCGTACTTTTTTTCGAAATTCATTTCTTCAGTCCTTCTTTCATTTAAATTGTATAAGTTGAGGTTTGGATTCGAGAAAGAGACTGAGAATTTGTTACTTTTCATGATCGTTTGAAGATTTTTTTTTCACTCGTTTCATTTCACAGAATTGTGCACAAAAGCTATTCTAGACTTTGCATTGTAAAATATAAGTGCAAAATAAGAAATCCTCATATTTGTTAATATTCTAAGAAACTTTTTTAAGGTATGTTCGCTTAACAATTCTTCTGATAAACGATACCGACTGATAGATCGTTATTAGCTCCATATGTTAAATAACCTTTTGGTTTACGGTTTTTTATTGCCTGTTGTATACTAAATCATACAACCACAAGCAACATTCGTCGGATGCCGATTCACTGGACTCTAAACTAAGGATGAACTAAATATCGTCATCAGATAAGTTCTTTGTGTTTTGCTATACAAATTATCTCCGGATATTGGTCACATTGTTTCTTTTAAAGATATATGGCACTCTTTCTTGAACCAAAAAGTCAACTTGAGCTAGCCATACAGAACGATAGCCCGAATGTCTTCTACAAGTAGACATTTCATGTGATTGAAGCCGATTTGTTATTCTCAAGTTATGGAATTTTAAAAATTTTTGTTAAGAGCTATTTATAGGCGACCTGAAATTTATCTTTCGCATTCTTAAACGAGAAAAACGATGTTTTGGACTACGAGACTTTGTTTGAAGTTGTGGATTTTCTATTGACTTTGATCTGTTTTCGATTCCTATTTTTTTTTCGACGTAAAATAGAGTGTGAGTGGACTCTAACAGCAAAAGAGTTCCTTCTTTGTCTCTTCTATATTCTACTCAGCGTAGAACTCGAACTTTATTCATCTGACTTCCTTATGACATTCTTGAACTTCGCCGGATTGGACTGAAATATATACAATGGATACCTGAAACTGTTCTTCATAAGTGAGTGTTTGTTTCTGTTTATGAACTTCTGGTTCGGAACCATAGAATTTTGAAAATCATCACTTGCTCAGGAGCCGCGAAAGTGGGGAAATGTGGAGGAATGTATACCCTTCGCACCAATAATTAAAAACCATCAGTTATTGCCAAGTAAAATGACCAAGATTTGTGAATTCTTTTGCTCCTGTGAGACGTTTTCTTATATATCTGAGGAATATTCAAATCTCTGAAACAAAAAATTCCTGAGACTACCATAATTTCCTTCATATTATTCAGAGCAGTCCATAGCTGAAATACAGAAATTTACCGGTAATTACTATCATATCAAAAGGAAATTTCCGACAAATGTCAGTAATCTCTTATGCACTTCAACGAAACTTCAAAGTAATTTCGGTAATTGGTTCGGCAAAAGCAACAAACTAATCACTGATTCTAATAAATACTAGTCTGGAAGAATGAAATTCACAGAAAACTCTAGAAATTTCAAAGAAATGTGAACGAAATTACCAGCAAACTTTTAAGGATTACTAAGACTTCCACAATTAATTTCTAAGACGTTGCTACAATCACTAGTATTCAAACTCAAATTGATAAATGTACTTGTTTAGTTAATATCTGATTCTTACCTGTCGTTGACAAATCTGTTGCCAACACATCACAATTTTCTACAAGAGAAAAACAATACACATTTTAGTGGTAAAGCAGCATTATCGTTTTCCTTTTCTTCTTTCAAAGCTTACGGGACGTTTTTAACAGTGGTACAGTAATAGCACTTGCCACAGCACCGCCCAAAATGAATCCCACAAAGACTTTAAACCATGTTGACTTCACGAACGAAGAATTATGGTCAATGTTACTAGTAGCAGGAGTAACAGAACTTTTTCTGGACAAAATTTAAACCAAAAATAGAAATCTTTTTCAAAAAAAAAGTAAACTTACTCCGTAGTTGTTGATGACAATATCTCTTCTATGTCTTCAAAGTTTGACTGTAGTTTAGTGGGTGAAGTTGATGACTGTTCTACAGTAGGCATAAAACTCAATGGTTTTCCATGCTTAAGTGAAAATAAACCAAAAGAAGGGCAAGACTAGTCAATAAGTATCGAGAAAAGAACTAAAATACAAATGATAATACTTACAAAAGTTTGATCAACCATTTTTTTTGGTTGAAATCCTTTACGAGTTGCATAACTCATAGTTGATTTGTAGTTTTACTTAGATAAGTATCGCTTTAAATAAAAGTTTGAATAAAAATTCAAACACAACAGAACTTGTCTGTAGAAGCTTATGAAAAAACGATGAACAGTTTATTGTAAGTGTAAATTAATTTCACACTTAGGTAATGAAAATAAATTTCGCTTACGTCTTCTGCGCCTATTTTTTCTTCTTTTCTGTTTGTCTATTAACTTTTTACTTTTTTAAAAACAAACAAAAAAAAATGTGTCTATAACATTCATTTGTTTTTGTTCCACTTACAACTTTCTCTCGCCTCTTGCTTTTAGTAACTTATTAAGTGTTGTATAACTCATTCATGTTAACAAAACAAATGGACAACTACTTGTATAGTTATTGTTGTGAGTTGACTGATTTGTCGAATGACGATGCAAGAAAAATTATAATAGTTTTTCTGTCAACTCTTCCGATAAAAATTTAAAGATTGATCCTGCTGTAAATTTTCAGAGAGTGATATTTCAACATCAAAAGATTTATACCTTTTATTAAATCAGTCATTAAAGTAGTGTTTCAACTGCCTTGCATGAGTATGAAAATGACTTGTTTTAAGGCATTCAATATTGCATTTTCTTGTTCATGTTCGATCTTAAAATCGAATGAACATTGAACAAGTATTCGTGGGTATGGATCGATAAAATACACTATATCTTAATGTGTTTACAAGCTGTATAATATTTTTTTATACAACGTTCGAAATCTTTCATTCATAATCTTCAAAACTTATATGACCTATATAATATAACAAAAGTATTTACGTTCTATGAATTAGAATTATACATTGGTTAATAAATGGTTTTTATATCGATGCATCAATCAAAGATGAAACTAAGACAGTTTTTCGAATCGTTATTCTAGATTATTGACTATAGTTACTTAAAAAATTGTTTATCAGTTAAATAGTAATCGTTGGTTTATCGTTGTCTTCTTGAAACGTCTTTCAATAAAGTATGAGAATTTGATAATAATTCCCTTAACTCTTGCTTTGCTGTATTGATTAAAACTATATAAAATCACACGATTTTATTTATGAATGAAACAAAAAAGAATACTTGAAAGAGAAAAGAGTTGTTTTAACAAAAAATTTCGTTGAATTTCAGACCTTTTTTATTCAACACATTGCTAGTAAACGAGTTTATTTTGCCTATACCATGTTCATATAATAGAAAGGAAACAGACAACAGTTTAGTGAGAAGTGTGTTCTTGGACGAATGGAATTAACATACTGTAGAATCTTAGTATAATGCATAATAGTGCCATACTTTCTTAACGAGGGTGTGGGTGTGTGGGGGGGGGGGGGGGGGTGTGTGGGGGGGTGTGTGTGTGTGGGTGTGGGTGTTCTTTTCATCCACACCCACACCCACACCCTAGGTGGGGAATCTTTTCCGCAACCATGCATCCACATTTACACTACATCCACACCCAGGTTGCTGACATGATCATCGCCTGTTCAATTGGGCAAGTTTGTCTTGATAAACTTCATGATGCAAAAAGATTGTCCGTAATTGCCACCGAGGCCGGTATGATTGCATATAGTTCGAGTAAAATATAAATACTTGGATAAAACAGTTTGAATGGTTGTATTATCTTCAGTACCTGCTGCATGATCTAATCTTGCTTCACACATCTCTTATCTGCTCGAGAATGGTTTTCTACCATTCGGTTTGTTTCTTTTTCTATCTGGTGAGCACATGATACGAAGAAAAAAATAATGATTCTTTTCTTCATTGACGAGCATAGAGGTAAATATTTGCGAAGATAACTTTATATGACTAGAGCCATGTGAGAGTTGAGAACGAAACAAAAAACATATTAGTAAACTACACCGTAGTATATAAACAGTGATTTACGTTGTTACTAACGTTATACATCGGTTTTTTTGTCCCAGAAATAATCAGTGAAATTTTATCGAACAGTTTTAAAACTCTTTCAAGATGAGCACATCCGAAACACAGGCAACCTCGAACCCCATCGAACCATTCCATGTCAATATTCCACAATCGGCTCTTGACGATTTAAAACTTCGTCTTGATCTAGTCCGTTGGCCTGAGCGTGAGACTGTAACTGATTGGTCACAAGGTGTGCCTCTTGCCAAAGCTCGAGCACTGATCGATTATTGGCGTACGAAATACGATTGGCGTCGTTTTGAGAGTGAAATTAATAAATTACCTCATTTTCGAACAACAATTGATGGTCTTGGCATTCATTTTATTCATGTTAAATCAAAGCATGAAAATGCTCTACCATTACTCCTCACGCACGGATGGCCTGGTTCATTCATCGAATTTATTCGTACAATCCCGTTACTCACTGATCCCACGGCATTTGGAGGCAAAGCTGAAGATGCTTTTCATGTGGTAATTCCTTCTCTTCCTGGATATGCATTCAGCGATAAGCCGACAGAAACTGGTTGGAATATCGAGCGTATTGCTAAGGCATGGATTGTACTTATGGAACGTCTTGACTACAAACACTGGGTTGCTCAAGGTGGTGATTGGGGAGCTGTCATAACAACAATCCTTGGTCAAATACATCCACCAGGACTTCTTGCCATTCATCTCAATTTACCAATCGTTTTTCCTGAGAAAATACCTGAAACACTGTCGCATGACGAACAACGTGCAGTAGATGCTGCTAATAAATTTAGTACAGATGGATCAGGATACTCTCAGGAACACTCGACAAGGCCACAGACAATTGGCTATGCACTTTGTGACTCACCGGTCGCTTTAGCAATGTGGATATACGAGAAATTTTATGAATGGACAGATAATAATGGTAATCCCGAGGATGCTCTTGAACACGATGAAATGCTGGACAATATTACTCTGTATTGGATGACGAATACTGGCGCATCATCGGTTCGCCTCTATTGGGAACGTCGAAGAACCGGAGGAGTGCGTTTTTTAGGCCCAAAACTTGATTTACCTGTCGCTGCCAGCATCTTTCCACGTGAAATCTATCGAGCACCTAAAAGTTGGGCTGAACAAAAATATTCGAATTTAATCTATTGGAAAGAACATGAGAAAGGAGGACATTTTGCAGCCTTCCAACATCCTGAACTTTTCACTGATGATTTACGTGCTGCGTTTCGTACTATTCGACGTACTTGAAAAACATGTTATGAAATAAACTGCTCTTTATATGGAATATTTCTTGCTTATAAAATCGTGACTTTTCATTTGTAATCATTACTTTCCGGAAGAAAATTTAAGAACTTTTGAATTTTTTTACCTTTAACTATTTTATTGCGTTGAATTTCTCCAGTTTTTTAAGCAATTCATACAACAAAATAAATACATACTTTCTCTTTAGTCATTAAAATAAGAGTTCTCCATACATCTTTGCTCACAGCACAGAAAATGAGTTCTCGAATTTTTTTGCTGTAATGAATAGCAACAATCAAGGAAGGTTTTCCTAGTGAGAAGTACAAGTAATTACCAAGATCCAGAATACTTTCTCATAAGTCTTGTGAGTAGCACTGCCTGAAATGTCGGATCATTACCGATGAATCACTGAAAGCTCCCTGGTTTGACATTTTTCGTGATAACGATTTGAAGCGTGCGAATGTGGCAATCGTCTTCTCTTCAGCCTATGCACCAGTACCAGTAGTCTTCTTCACCCACACCCTTTATAGAGAAAACAGCTTTTTGACTTTTGTTGCAAACCATCTTCGAAAATATAGAACTGTCGATTTTTAACGAATTTTTCTTATCGAAAAACGCAAAAAAAAACATGCTCCGTGGAAATGTAAGGAAATTTAGCAGCCTATTTGAGCTTTTTCATAAACGACTCGACCCATTCACTAAGCCACCTAAGGGATGCGGTGAGCCAAATGCAGCTCGATGAGCTCTATCGATTGGTGTATGTTTCATTAGATTGAAAGGAAACCGTCGTTGACCAGGAGCACTCGAGTACCTAAAACTCGGTGCTCAGGCGGTATTTGCTGTGACGATTCGCTCGAAAACCTGAGCTACCGATGGGACAGAATTCATTCGACCCAGCTCGATCATTTCCATCCAATCGTATATGTTTCACTTTATTACAAATAAAACAACATTTGCCGAGACCCGCGGAATATCGAAAATGGATGCCATACCAGTATTTCCTGTGGCGATTCCTTTCACTACATGAACCATGTATGCGACAGAATCTGATCAGCCCATCTTGATGACCTCTAGAGAATAGTATATGATCCAGTCGATTTCAAACAATAATTCATTTTACAACTTCATAGGAATGCCAAGAATGAGGTTTTAGACGTTCATTTTCTATGTCGGCTGCTTTCACAATTAGTGATGCTGACGAAACTCACGTCAACCGATAGAACTCGCCTAGCTACAGTGAATGAGCTTAGTTTCATGAGTGGCTCAGCTTATAGAGTGAATCGTCAGAGGAAATACTGACTCAGAATCTGTTTTTGCGTATCCCACGACTCATGACCAACGACTGTTTGCTTTCAGTCGAGTGAAACCTACACCATTTGATAGAACTCATCGAGCTGCATCTGGCTCACTGCATGCCTTATTTGGCTCAGCGAATGGGCTCGAATGGACTGCTAAATTTTCTTATATTTCGTGGAAAGAGAAGTTTTTTTAGATTCACTATCTCCAGAACACCTGGTCTGATCATGCTGAAATTTTCTGTCGATATAGATACCATTTAGTTCCACATTCAGCAAACCTTAACATTTGAACGGTTGAGCCTTTCATATTACATGGATCAAGCAAAAATCATTTTTTTTATCAGAAGCAGCTTTTTCCTGGTGGTGAATAAGATTCACCTGAATAACGTCGAAAGTAAAATGTCGAAGGTAAAATATCGAAAATAAAAATGTCGAATAGAAGATAAGACCGAGGGTGTGGATGTGAATGTGGATGAGATTCTTTGCTTCATCCACACCCGCACCCTTAAGTCTTACATATCGATTATTATTCAAGAAAATTGTTGAACAAGCGTTAAATTAAGAAATATAATATATAGAATTATTCTTCCCCACTGTTTTTTTTTTATTTGGATTTAAATAATGGCAAAAATCGATTCCTGTACATTGTCGACCACAAAATTTGACAAATGAGCTTAAATGTGAATATTGTCTTCTTTCTTTCTCTTTGCTGAACTGAGAAAAATAAACATGACATATTAGTATGGTCGTCTAACTTGGAGTTGGTTCCCCAAGTCTTAACTATGTATGCTTGGTAACGAAGAATTTATTTGTATATTTTTTAGAAAATAAATTAGAATTGTTCAATGAATATTTCGGTCAAAGTTCTAAAATAGCATTAAAAAAATGTAAATTATTATATTCCATCAGGTGCACCACCTTTACGTATATCACAGTTAGCCCAATATTGATTGACTTCATCACGCCATTCAATACCTTGTATAACAGAACGACCATAAACACCACATGTTATATTATGACCACGATCTTTCAATCGTTTTAATATATCCTAAAATAAAATTAAAAAAATTTCAATAATCTATTAAGAAATAACATAGACTTACATGATCAAAACCACGTTCAGCGACAACTTCTTGTGGTAATAATTGTGAATGAAGACGTGGAGAATCAATTGCTTTTTTAATATCATCATTAAACCATAAATTAAGCATAGCTACTTGTGCTATAGATGTTGTTATTCGCGTACCACCACTAGCACCTAAAACTTGTTGTATACGTTGATTATGTTTTTCCATTATAATTAAAGGTGCCATAGATGAAACAGGTCGTTTTCCAGGTGCTATATAATTAGCTAGACTTGCTGGCACGCCAAAATTATTCGTTGTATTTGGAGTTGAAAAATCATCCATTTCATTATTATAAATAATATCTGTTTCAGGACCAAGAACTTTTGAACCAAAACTAATAGAAAAAAAAAAGAAGAGTCTTCTTTGAAATTAAAATACTAAACAAATCACACAAGAGATTCACAGTTGATGATAATGCAACAGCATCACCATCAAGTCCAACAACAGATAAATGAGCTGTTCCTATTGTCATTTTATCTAGCCATGCTCCACCATAATATTCAAAACCAAATGTTTTATTATCACTAAAATAAGAAACTAAATAACTCGATTTAACGTTTTCTTTTGTTTTTATTTTACATACTTAATTCGTGATCGTACATTATTAACATATTCTTTTGAAGTTAAATTATGAATAAGCTAAAATTTATTTACTATTTTTATGAAAAGAAAGAAAATTCAATATTTTTTTTTTCGTTTTCTATACTTCAGTTATATTTATCTTTGATGGATCACCAAGTTCACTTCTTTTTGCATAAGCAAATTTAAATGCTTCAATGAGACGATGATAAAATAAAGAAGATGTTGTTGTTGATTTTTTAATATTATTTTCATGTACATAATAACCTGATTTAACAAGAAAATAAACTTTAATTTAAAAGAAATATTTCAATACCTTGAAGAATATTTAAAATAAAAGCAAGAATTGGTCCACTTGTAGGTGCATGTGTTGTATATGCAGTTAGTGAACTTTTAAGATCAATACTTAATGCTTCTTGAAAATCAACATCATAATCAGCAAGATCTTGTTTTGTTATAATTCCACCTTGATCTTGAATTTCTTTAACAATTTTATCAGATAATTCACCTGTATAAAAAGCATCAACACCTTGTTCAGCTATTATTTCAAGTGTACGAGCTAATTTTGGTCGTTTCATTAAATCACCAGCACCATATAATTCATTTGTATTCGAATTTTTTACAAAAATTTCTCTATAAGAAAACATTTATTTATCATTTATTTTTTTCAATATTTAGTATAAACCTCATTGCAGGATCATCAAGGATAACACGTGTTGTTTCTTTAATAGCTTGAGCTTGTGCTTCACTAACATGAAAACCTTCACGACATAATTGAATTGTTGGTTGAAAAAGTTCTTTCCATAATACACCTCCACCAAATTCATCATAAGCTTTTTTATAAGCTCGTAATTCACCCGGTACTCCAATAGCTAATCCACCTTAAATATGTACAAATCTTATATCTCTAGTTTTTTTTCTTTAATAAAATTCTTACCAGTTAGCGACATATTTTTTCTACCAACAAACATTGTTGAATTAGCAGCTAATGGTGCTTTTTCTCTCTAAAAAAAAACACTTGTTTTTTTTTGTTTATTATCTTTAACTTACTCCAATTATACTATAGGCTTTGTTTCTTTTCCTATGAATTGTATTTAAAAAAACAAAACATTTTCAAAAAACAAAGCGTGTTTTTTTTCTTTTACTTTGAATAAATTGTTATAACACATCCACCACCGATACCCATTGATTGTGTATTCATAACACCATTACAAATAGCTGCTGCTAAAGCAGCATCCATTGTTGTACCATTTTTCTCTAAGATAATGCGTCCAACTTTTGAACATTCACCATTATCAACAGCTACAGCTGCTCGAGAATATTTCCCCAAAATCGATGAACCATTTATAATATAAGTTTCATGACCGGCACTACATACTTCCTCACTGGCATTTTGGAAAGCTACATCAACGAAATAGAAAATAGATTAAATATATTATTCAATAAAAATATTGGAATAACCTTTTCAAATGTTCCTTTCTGATTCCAATGATCTTTATTTTTCCTATGGATACTACATTCATATTCTGGTGAAAATCATATGTCAAAATTTTAAGATGCCTATTGATCAGAGATGATTTTAAATGTTGTCTTCATCTGAAAGTCTCATATACAGTAACTTGTTTAAATAGTTTCAGAATTTGTCGACTTCACATGTTTCTGAGGCTATGAACTTTTCAAAAACTGACGCTTTTTGAAACGTAATGAATAATACAAGAATATTTTGAAAAGTTCGTATCTCTAAAACTCTTCATACAAGCTACTGTATATAAGATCTTCAAAATGGGAATAGTTTCAAAATAAAATTCAAAAAATACGATTTTTTTCCGAAAGTCTGAGATCCTGGAGAGTTCGCTAGAAAATAGATATGTTAAAAATTCAACAGTTCCAACAAATCTCAATAAGAATTCAAATTCTTTTCTTTTTTAGGGTTTTCACTAGAATACTATCTAGTACCTATAGGTAAAAATCATTGAAATCAGAAGAGAACGTCTGAGAAGGTTCTCTCATAAGATAAATAATGTTAAGAAATAAAAATATTACATTATTTATTATTGAAATCGACAATGTAATAGAATATAGTATACGATTGAAAATTTGTCTTTTTCTTTGCATAGAACATGTACAAACATTTTGAATAATGACATTTACGGATTTATCATTCTATTGATTAATAAGCTCAAATCCGTGAAATTTCGAGTTTTTCTTTAATCAAATAACAAATTGTCAGTAATATACTACCGATTCTCTTATTAAATAAACCTCTACATATGGAACTGATAAATAAGAAATTTATTCTTACGTCTTCTTAAGCCTAAAACAAGACCAATAATAACACCGACGACAACAAGAACAGAAACAGCAACAAAAGTAACGATGAATATTTGTCGTCTAAACGTAAATAGAAAAACGAATATAAATAATTAATTTATTTGAAATATAAAAAAAAGAAGTAAAACTATAATCCACCTTCGTTTTCGAATGATAACTAATTTTCGATAGAGTAATAAAACGTGTTAACCCAATCCCTATTGAATTAAAACCTGAAACACAATATAGCTACTGTTGCTCATCATCAGAAAATTGCTTTATTCTATGTATTTTTGGGCATATTTTTTCGCCATTCTTTTGTTTAATCCTCTAGAAGTGCAGTAATGAGGTAGTAACAAGACGTGATTAATAAACGGTCTTTGATCGTACATCAACACGGTCTGTGGGGAAAGTGAGTCCTAATTTTTCCACTATACTTCAATACTCGTTTTAGATCGTGTTGCGCAAAATATATTCTCTTAAAGAACCAGTCATTATTGGGATAATTCAAATTAAATAATTAATATATCATTAAATGTCGTACAGAATCGGTCAAATAATCAGTAACATAATGAGTAAATGCAAATAAAAGGACAGATTTATATTGTTCTTTTGAAAAATCATTTAAATATTGTTTAGTTCGTATTTTTTTCTCTTCTATATCTAAAAAATTGAGTTAAGTATTTCTTTCGTCTTCCTTTTATTTTGCATTTTATATTTGCTTACCTATTGGAGAATACATCTCTTAGATGCACCATGTTTCTGAATTGTTGTTAAAACGATGATGAATATAATCAATAAAAATCAATTTTGACTTGTTCTTTATCAATCACTAGTACACTTCATACAACTAAATAATAATAATAATAGAAAACGTCTATCATCATTTCTTCCACTTCATTGAAATGCTACGATAAACAAAATAAAGGTAAACGATAATGGCAAATACAACGACATTAAATTTGTATGAATATTTTTTTTTTGTTTGTTTATGCATACAAATAGATGAATGGCATTTTGTGGTTACGAAAAATAATCATTTTTAGCTTATTATTGTATTTTGTCTTTAAATCTTGAAAGAGTATGAAAGTTAAATTTTACACGTATGCTTAAGGATAAGAAGAAAATAAGGCTTTATTGACCAAATTCAAGGAATCATCAACTTTTTTAAATTTCAGATAATAATCTTTTGAAACTTTTTTGTGATATTATTTCCTCTACTGAAAGGAGAGTCATACGTAGAGTGAGCTATCTTCGTTTGTTCGTATGTTCGCTCGATCATAGTAACATCTCGGTGACTCGCTCCCCGACGCGGAATAAAGTTTGACCAAAGGTTTTCGGAGTCAATGAATTTAAATTTGCTATTAGTTTTTCCAAATTTTTTACTCCATTTTCTGATAAAAAAAAGGGATTTTTTACAAAGTTTCACTGAATTTTTTCGGGTCGAGAAATTCGAACTGTCACTATTTTTTTAAAGTAGTGTACTGTTTCTGCATTTCGAACGCTGTCTCCTTCTCACGTCATTTGTGCTGAAACTTGGTAGAGCTATTGAAATAAATGAATACGGTGCAAATAATTTTAGATGAGTTGGAAATTGAGGAACAGATTGAAAGATTTGTCCGTGTTTGCATGTGATGCATGACATTTTTCGATAAGTTTCGATGCTTTTTAATTTTTCTCAGAAAACGTTATTTCTCAACGCTAGATCGAATACAGCTCCGTCGTTTCTAACTCACTTTGATGAAGAATACATCAAAGTATGAAGATTTGGAATTCTAGTTACTCTATTTAAGAAAGTATGTTGTCGATACTGCGAATTTGGACGAAGTTTGGTACATGCTAAAGGCAAAGTGTGCATGAAACCGATTTGGAGTTGCATACTGTGCCTGCGAATACATATTCAGTTTTGTAATGTAAAATCTAGAGTTATTTGTCATTAGTAACTTTTCTGCGTGTGCTTATGTATGCACGAAGTTTTGATTTCAATCGACTATTTATACAAAAACAAGTAAGAGTTAAGAGAGAGACCCTACACAAGCGGAAAGAAAAAATGGTATGGATAATAAATATGTCATTGTTTAATCTTAAAACGAAAAAAGAACAGTAGTGCAACATAAATCTTTTAGTCACTCAAAAAAAATACTTTTTCCAGTGCTTTTGGCAATTAAGTCTAGTCCATTGAGTTTCTTCAGTTTTTCTGCTGATGGTTGAGCAGTCATCCTATTCCGCAATGTTACTTATTGTGGAATCAATTTCGCCCCCGGCATCAGTTCCATCCGATTCCCGGAATCCTCTAACTAACTCGGCTTATTCGACAACGATAGAGTTTCCTTAATTTCCGGAATTCCGAAATGCGATTCCAAAATTGCATACGATTCAGGAATTCCTTCTCATCCTCACCCTCAACTTGTCTTGTCTAGTTAAAGAGAAATATGTGAAACAAACGGGCGATTCCGGAACGGAATTCCAGGAATTGGATCGAAACGAAATTAGACGGAATCGGACGAAATTGCTAGGAATTCTGCCCGATTTCGTCTAATTCCGCTTCGATCCAATTCCAGGAATTTCGCTCCGGAATCGCTCGTTTGCTTCACATATTTATCTTTAATTACACGAGACAAGATGAGGATGTAGGTGTGGGTGTGCATGATGACAAGATTGACACCCACACCCACACCCCGATGTGATAAGGAATTCTAGCTTTACTGCACCAGAAAAACTTAGTAAGGACGTGACACATGGAGAAGTTTATAGCATCTACAATGTTATTGAGTGACTTAATCTCTATTGGAGACAGTGATAATTGGAGTCATATAACATCGCTGCATGGAACTATTATAAATCATCGATCTCAGTCTTCTACCTATACGTGGACTCTTTTGCTGTCAGACTATGTCTCGTAGGAAACGAAAACAGGCTGAAATATAAGATCTCATTCCATATAATGCATTAATAAAATCATATTTGCTTTAGGTCGTTAATTGTTGATATTGTTTATTTCATTATTTGAAATAATTTACAACATATTGTATGTTAAAAGAGAAAAAAGAATCACTGAACTCTTTTTTAAACATATAGCAAGAACACAAGATGTAACAGTATGGGTAGCATTAATATTTGACAGTAGAACAGAAGAATAACAACAGTAATAGAAGGAAAATATTACAAAAATATGCATTTCTATTCAACAATGCTAACCCATGTGAATGTGGCAGTGTAATATTATCAGTTCGCAATAAGTCATTTGCAAGCATAAAATCAACTAGAGCTTGAGCAAATCTTGTTGCATAAAATCGTCGATCGAAGTCATTTCTCATTACATAAGATAGCTCGGCTTGTATAGCATTGATACGTGAAATATAATTTTTTGTGATAAAACCACCACTATAAAAAGTCTTATTGCCAGGCTTTGGATTGTTCAATGAAGAATAAGCAATACCGAGTTCTTTGGATTCCATAAAAGTACCAAATGCTTTTGAACCTCGAATACATTCGCTTCGATTTTGAGAGCAAGATGACTGAATAAGTAATTCGATCGAAGTCGAAGATAATTCGTTACGATTGAGTTTAGCTCCGGTTAGTAGAATTCCAACCATTGTATAGCTGAATACAAGAAACGGGAAAATTAAATTATCAAATAAAATCAACCTACTTTCCTTGTGCATGTTGATGAACATCGAGAAGTAAACCTTGACCATGAAATTTTCTCTCAATTGTAGCAATGGCTTCTTCTAAATAATCATGATAACTACGATACGATTTAATCGCTTCTGGATGATTGAAAGTTGCTTCATTCATTTCTCGATTAAAATCAATCTTCTTGCGATTCCATTTGGCGACAACAAGAAATGGTATAATAGCATAAGTTTGATTTAATTGATCAGCTACATCTTCGGCAAATCGATCATCCATGCAAAGTCTTGTACTGTAGTAACTGAACAACGCAAACCATCAGAACATGGATCATCAAACTGAAATAAACATACAGTTGAATTTGCTCGTCGGCAACCACCTATCGTGCGATCTGGCACATCCTCCGGCATGTCAGTACCAGCATGAGGCGATGAAAGAATTATATTCGCGGTAGTATAATTAGACACAATGGATTTCGATGAATTTCGATATCTTTCAATGTAAAGATGAGAATTAATTGCAGCAGTTAAAAGAAAAAAAGCAAAATAGACGATAGCGTGTATGAGAATCAACATTGTGCTGTTGCTCGGTGCAAACAATCGAAAAACTGGAGTAGTCTAATACTAGTTGTTGATTCTTCTACGTTGTCGTTCTCTTTCTTTCTTTTGCTTATTCCTTTGAATGATGACGTGCTTAAAATGGTTATTAGTATGAGAGGTTCTGTCATTTGATTCTTTTTTTCTGCTCTTTTCAACTCAAGAAAACGGATATTCCCAAACAAGACAATAAGAAAAGAATGATATGCAATCGAGACTTGACAAATTACTCATATCATATTATCAAGCTTTTCATCACTGACATCTTTCAATACATTGTCTTAAATGATTGATTTAAACCGTAGAAATAACAAAAACAGACGATTTTGATAAGAAACGATAGAATTATGAAAATAATCGAACCAGCCCATCAGCAAACATTTTCACTATGTTGAATCGGATTACAATTTTTTTCACAATTATTTCAGTATAATGGCAAAGTAAAATTTATTGAATTCTTTTTGAAAAGTTGCCGTAAATAGAACTCGAAACAGTAGTGAATTTTGTGTTCGATTTTCACTAGATAGAATCTTGAAATTCAGTTTCGATTCTGTTCTATCTTTGTTTTCTATTTATTCTGACTGACTTGTATCCGACGAAGAATTGATGTTCAATTGTTTCTCCTTCAATAATTGTTATTTAAAACGAATTCATCTTCTTCTGTGAAGTAAAACCTGGAACTGCATTTCAATCATAATCGAGAGAATAGAACGAACTTCTTAATTAGATATTTTGTATCGAAATCTTAAAACAATCATTAATCGAAAAAACGAAAATTCGCTTGTCCTTTCAGTCAAAAACTCGAACAAACATGAATGATTGACACATGATATAAAGTAAGTTTTTTTTTTGTTTTATGCCATAATGTGCATCATGAAATTCTTTATTAGACGATTTATAATTCATGAAAATTTTTACTCATTAACATATAGATCGATGTAAAGGATTATGACTTTGAATTTAGAAGTTTTAACAGATCTTTCTCTTAAAAAAATATCTCACCGTTCTTCAATCGTATGATGACTGAAATATGTTCTGAATACTATGTTGTTTGTCTTAATTGCCACTACGAGAGTCACATTTTTGTATTCTGATCGTTTCTGATTGAAACTAGACTGATATTAGTATGATAGATCTACTTCGTATCTTAATACACAAGCCGATACTTGTTATTTGAATGATATGAATCATTCAAAGAGACTGAACAGTAGTTTCTTGATTTTCATACTTTCTCTATATCCTTTTTTCTAGGGAAAAAATGATTTAGTTACGAAAGATATACTTGAGTTTCTGCTTTGATTGGTGCATTAAAAAGTTCGATAAGCAATCAATGAATTATGCGATGTTATTTTTTCGTCTAGCAAAATCATCAAAAAGTTCCGTATTCAATATGAAGCGGGATTAAATTAATATGTTTTAGTAAGGATCTGATCGTGAACTTTCATTTTTACAACATTCACAGAGAATCATTTCAGTTGAAATTTATCAACAGGATCATATAAATTGTATATCTCTATTGATGAAAGAACCTGCAAGAATTCAGAGACTGAATATATGACAAGGAATCGTCTTGTATTCAGAACTAAAATTGAGTTGTCATTCATTTGATTTTGTTGTTTCTTCCTGCGATCTTAATGTTTTTTTTTTGTCACTTCTTTTCTTGCATTTTTTTTTGCTCTTGCCACGTGTGAGCTTTATCGATAGAATTTGTTGTTAAAAATGCAACACGAAAGAAAAAGGAAAAAAAGGAGTAAAATATATTCATAGCGACAGCAACAAAAAAGAGTCCGACAACGACTTTTACAAATAAAAAGTAACGTAATAAAACCGAATACTCTATATGGGTACAAGCTTCTGGGTTTAATTTTCCTTGTTGATTGTGCTGAGTACTAAACGTATGATGATGATCGAATAGTAAAGAAGGAATCGATCTATCATGCAAAGATCAACGAATGATGTCGAAAAAAAAAGAAAAGTCGAAAGAGTAGTAGTTTATGAAGAGGATAAGCAATTGTTTCGCGACGGAGGTGCGGCATTTTGTTGCTTTGTTGATGAATAGCAGTCTATAGTTCTCGTGATTTGGACAAGAGTTTGTCGTCATCCTTGATGATGTTCAGCAAGTTCAATGGACATTTTGTTTTTCAATCTAATTGACGATATTAGTACAAATTAAATTGTTGTTTTGCAAAATCTTTCGCTTAGTTGTGAGATGTTGCTGTGCACAACAAAGTTTATTTGATATTTGACATTTTCCGATGCCGTATATTGTGACAATGAGATCAATATTATTTCATACTGTTTCGTGAGTGAATTACGATTCGAGATAAATTCATTATCTGCTCAAGACACACCATCTATTAGTCGTAGGGACATAATTTTTTTGTCAATCATTTCGGAATAAATAAATTTGAAGATCAATTGTTTAAATTTTTTGTGATCAAAAAACATTTTTTTCCGTTTATTTAGACATTATAACACACTGTATACCCGTCGATTACAGTCATCAACACGTGATAAGCGGTACAAAAAATGCGTCATCTTATGAGAGAATACAAAATTTAAGTCTTTTGCCCTTTTAAAAGTAGCTCCTTGTCCATACATTGATCATATACTTTAAAGTAATTATTTATATTCACTTTATAAAAAAAGCCAGAACAATTTACGAGTAAGAACCAATTTAATTATATTATTTTATTAATATTTTGTTCACATTTCTTTTATAGATTCTATGATCATTTCAGATGCAAAATCTCAAACAGAGAGACTTAGCAGAAAAAATTTGAATGTTAATAGAACTGAAGATGATATCTAATCATGTAACATAATAATGATAACTAATCAAAATAATTCCTTTTTATTTATCAATTAAAACCACATGAGTATTTCACAACCATTCTCATCAACAACAATATACAGCTCTTCATTTAGTGACAATGCGTTTTCGTAGACGTTCGATGAATAGAGAGTGTTTCATATAAACCAAATCAATGTCATAATTACCTTGATCATAACTACGTCGAAAGCAAAAGTCAAAGTCAATGACTTTCAATGTTGTCTCTACAATAATTTTGCAATTTGTGTTATCTGATGAATTACGCATATCATATAAAACCACACATAAAGAGTTTACCAGCAGTCCAATCATCACTTGTAAAATTAAGACATTGATAATGAAGTATAATTTGAATAGATCGAATATTTGTTGCAATTAACTGAGTATTCAATGCATCAAGACTGTCTATAATAGTAGGATAAGTAATCATCGGTAAATTGAGAGAAATTTATCTATCACATCGAAATAAATGAAGTTTAACTATGTGATTCGAAGACATTACACGAAAAAGAAGAGTAGCAGATGATGAAATATTGTCTGACATACTTAATGTAAAAAGACGGGAAGAACTAATTGTATATTAGCCGAAGAAAAGGGTGTGAGTGTGAAGTTTGTATTCTTCAAACTCATACTCCCACACCCCACAATCACACTCACACATATACCCGCATGGGTTTTCGTGCAAGTGCATTATTCATCGTAGTATACACAATGATGTAAAATCATAGTGTTTGATTAAGACTTTTAGTTTTTCGACAAGTGGAATATAGTCAACCTCTAGTCAAAATCACCAGAAAATCGAGAGTACAATATATTTATTTTCAAAATAATAAAAAAAAGAAATCTACAGTTCTATCTATTGATTTTACTCAAGCATATGGAACTGATTACTTCAGAAAAAAAAACTCGTATGGATTAGTAAAGGATTAATTGAGAAAGATGAATAAAAAATGAAGATATGTGCTGGATATTGAATGAATAAAATTTGAAATAAGTATTCTTAATGCAGGCCACCTTGTGTTTTTCCTGTGAGCATTCCATTTGTAAAAAAAAATGGGCTGATGAGCCTACTGATGTTCCAAAATATTGGATAACAACTATTGGTGGTGTTTCAGTAACACGTATACCCGATCCACCCACTGTGTTCTCAACTTGTGCAATTGTCCATGAAATTTTGAGTGTATTGTATTGAGTTAATGTTATTTGGGGAGGGTTCAGAGAAATAGCGCTGACCAAGAGCGTCCCAATGGCTACTACTAGCAGTATGAGAAATAGTTTCACTTCTTGATTCTTCTAGTTTCAAACGTTGCAAATGAATCTACTGAATGTAAAATGACATACACAATGTTTTCATTTTGTTTTTATAGTTATTTTGAAAAGGATAATATCATTATGTTATCTCAACCGTGACTTAATGTCACATGTCCTTTGGCTCATAACATAGAGGAAGTAGCCTGATAAATTATCATATGACGATTCTTTTAATTAAGTCGTTATCGCACATTTTCATCTCATGTGATGTGCTGAATGAATGTATTGTAAAAGTCATTTCTATGACATTATATTATTCATACCAATGTAATAGATTTCTTCAATATAGAACATTTCTTTTATGAAAGGATATTATTGTCATATGCTTTTAACCCTATGGGAACCGACTTTTTTTTTGAGAAGAGGTAAACGGCATCGTGGAAATTAGGTATAACTTAGAAATTATGAATTATATACTTGTGGCGCTAGCTCTTCTTTCTATAGAGTATGACAATGAACTCTCTGGTGGAAAAGGAAATAAAATACACAATGATTCCACTTCGAAATATCCAAAGCACTTGGGTCTTCAATTTCAGTTG